CCCTAAGAGGCGAATGTTTTAAAAAGTTTATGTATATATATGTATTATGCATTTCATATCAGTAACCCNCATTAGATCAATTAACCAAAATCATATAAAGATTTATCAAAGTTAAGAGTGCCTAAAGAGCAAGGTATAGTAAAACTCCCTGGATCTCCACACTTTAGTGGGAGTTTAGTTTGCAATATTGCACTGCAATGCTCTGTGACCACTGAGGTCTCTTCTATCCTCCTTTTCTTTGTATGGATCTCCTTCAAGAACTTAGCATAAGCTGGCATTTGTGAGAGCATTTCTGTGAAAGGCAAATTTACATTAAGTTGTCTCAGCATATCTAGAAATCTCTCAAACTGCTTGTCTAGCTTTTCTCTATCGAGCTTTTGGGGAAAAGGTAAAGCAGACATGTGCTTGCTCTCTTCATTAGATTCCTCCTTCTTCTTTTTCTCAGCATCCTTCTTATCTTTCTTCTTCTTTTCAGCTTCATTTTTCAGCTACTCCTCACTTTCTTTTTCAGGTACAACCTCTTTTTGACTAGAGTGGGATCTTTCAACGCTTTACCACTTCTCAAGGTCATAACATTCACCGTTTCTTTGGGATTTTTTACAATATCAGTTGGGAGAGTTCCTTGAATTCTCTCAGACAATATGGTTGTAATTTATCCTAGCACTGGTTGTAGACCGGTCTAGCATAATTGCCAAGTGTTCTCCCAACACCGGGAGCTATGTTTCCGAACTGATCTGGAACAAAAGGCTAATTCTAAGCAATTATCCAAGCCCTCTCCTCTTCATATGCAATTTGTGCATCTCTAATGCCTGCTTCCTTAGCATCCCGAGCAGCTTTTTCTCTTAGTTGGACTGCCTCTCTCGCAGCCAAATCAACATTATCATCATCTCCAGCCATAATTTCCTTGGTTGAGGATTGCCCAACCATCTCTATATTCTTAGGGAGATATCTGTCCTTCCTCAGCTGTCGCAGTTGTTTCTCGATTTCTGGTTCGTATGGTAGAAATTCCGTCCCAGAAGATCGTGTCATGCACCAATCTAACCTGTAGCCTGTGCAAAGTTAAATGACAACAAACGTAAAAAGAGAAAAATAAAATAAAAAGAAATTTTTTTGAATTAACACTACAAACTATTTCAAACACTATTAATTGTCAATCCCCGGCAACGGCGCCAAACTTTGATGAGCGCAAAACACACACTTAAATATACTCGCTAGTCGAATATACTAAATTATAATATAGTATCCACAGGGATTGGAGTTATAATTTTCGTAGTTTATTGCTGATTGCTATCCAATATGATCAAGAATTGAGATTTATGCAATTAAAACGATATTTAACTAAGAGAATAAACTATCGACTAGTGACAATCAATGTAAGTAATAAGCAAAGAAGGTTATCAATTGGGAGAAGATAGGGTCGATATAATAGGTGCAAGACAAATGTTTGGGATTTAACTATAGATAATTCGCTTTTAATATTCAAGCGAGTCTCTCAAATTCACTTGCTTATTAGTTCAATTGATTAGTAGAAACTCCTCGCTCAATTTAGTGTCAACCTCACAAGATGAACTAATTTTAAGTACGTCAAGATATGCAACAATTCGTAGTGGATTGGTCATTAGGAGAACCTCTCTCGATTATCCTCCCAACTAGGTATATTCAACAATTCAACTAGCCTCTTCTGATTACTAAGAAGAATTAATGACTTTAACCAACAAAATATAATGCAAATATATCACAAGTTACGCCCCTCTCGATTATATGAACAAGTGAATATAGATGCAACGGTTAAAATATCCAAAATAATTCAATCTATAAAAGTAGAGTTAATATCAACAAACAAATATCAATACACCAAATCCATCAAACCCTAAAGAGAAATGCTCCATGGATATGAGTAATTCATTATAAATATGTTTAAGTTAAAGGAAAACATAAAACGATCCAAACTCTTGTCTTGAGTGAGGATTGAATGATGATATCTGTGTGCTCTTGCTTCTCTGCCTCCTGCTTAGCTTCCTTAAGTCTAAGTTGTGTCAAAAGGCTAAAAAATAATATTTTTACATGTATTTATACTAGGTAGGGCTGGGCCCAAATGAAACAACCTTCTCATAGCCGAAAATGGATTGTTACTCTGTAAAAAATATACAGGCGCACTGCATGGGGAGACGCGCCATGTGGGGTGGTAGTGGAGTTTATCAGCGAGCTTGAAATTTGACAAGGCAGCAAAAATGTACAGGCACGACGCCCCATGCTCCCCCACGCATCGCGGGTGTGGAAAATTCTCAGAGTTCGGGGTTTTCTTGATTTTTGATATCCATACTTGGTTCTTGACCCCCGAACGCTATAACTCAAAACCACTCGAATTAGCTCCGTAACATTTACATCACTCGGACTCACTCCTACAAGGTATAAAACACACAATTAGTGCAAAACAC